CCCGGAGGAATATTGATTCCTAGAGGAATAGACAATGACATTTTTGAAAAAAGCAATTTGGGGACTTTTGCTATTGATTATTGTCATTATAAAATCGCCATAAGAGACCTTTTTATATTACATCTAGAAATGACCGAGTGTGTCAATTGATTGCCTTTAACAATATATACACCTCTTTTGTGGGGAATTTCAAGGTTAGGTACCTTACGGTAATAGCTATATTATCTCATAAAGTAGGTGGCTTCTAACAATGGCATTGCATGCCATGTTCATATTGATAACCCTACAGATCTAGTAAAGGATCATGTTTCAAGGTGAAGTGTGTATTGACTAGGATTTCCATCCCATTTTTTGTTAGTATTTCCCTACCTTTCATGCCCTCTAATGGAATTTTAACTGGCTAGAGTTTAGAGAGGTCGATTTTCATTCAATCCGGCAATTGTTTGGTCTTTCTTTGTTTTGGTACGAGTTCATCTCTTTTTAAAAATTTTTTAGATAGCTCATGGAAATTAGCCTTTTTTTTTTTTTCTTTTTAAGGTGAAGCAACTCTCTATATCATGATTGTTCTCCTTATGGAAGAGGAAATATTTTTTCTAGCACGAAATCACATAAAGAAAGGGGGATTTTATTAGAGGATAATGGTTCACATATCCTTCCTTTTGTTTGGTGGATTACAACTCTATCCGAGGGATAGATTAAAGTTTAAAGAAGATCGAGCGATAATGGACTAATCACTAGGGTTTTCTTTAGGCTAGATTAACTTTATAGAGATATATCTCTCTTTATTTTCTCTTCCTCTAATTTTTAAAAATGAGAGTGAGATTGTAGAGTGATAGTTGCTTATTTGACCTAAATATAGCTTTCAATTACCCTTTTAACCTAGAAGAAGGTTCTATCGGGGAGAGCACATAGTTTTCTTTAGAGACTAGCATCGTAAACCCCTCTTATGAGGGTCTTGTAACTAAGGTTTCTAATAGTCCCTCCACTTCCATCATTTTTCATGTAAGCAAGAGAGATAAGTCGGATACTTTTCCCATTTCTCTATATGGTGGAGAACAAATCAATGGACCTTCTTTCAGTAGGGATGTTGATGAAGAAATAAATGATGAGACCGAAGCATAGATCCTCGAAACTAAGCATAGATTCGAGAGCTAGTTTTTGTATCATTTCCTAGCCACTCCTCTAAAAGTGGTGGAAAGGATTTTACACATGGCATCGATATCTTAGAGTATCAATTTTAGAGTAATTATGAAAATTTGCACATGTTCTCGAGGATTGGTCATGCTATCCTATGAGTCATAATCATCTTCATATAAATGAATTACGTTGGGGATTTGGCATTCAAAATATAAGGAGCAAGAGGAGAGGCTTAAGTTTCATGATTGTAATAGTCTAACTCGTAACAAGCAAAGGAAAGTGGGTTTCTTGTCCGTTCATGGGTGTTTAGGTTCCGGGCTCACCGAGGCTATTTAAAAATGTGAGTTATCCTAGGCATCCATTTTGGTGATCCCTTGTGTTCTAGTGATACTCTAACTCTTTTTCTTTCCTTTATTTTTCCAGCTTAAAGCTCTAGTTAGCAATTGTTTATTGTTATGATGAAAGTGACTCTTTTAAAGGTTAGGGGAAAGTGGCATTTTCTTCTGCCATCTTTCATCTATTCCACCTCCTTGCTTCTTCATAAGGGATTATTGCCCATGCATGTTTTGATGAGGAGTTGGTAGCGGCTCTTTTTCATGCGAGTTGAGCTAATGAAGGCGTTTGTGGTGCTTGGTGGCAAAGTAGTGAAGGTTCTAATCTATTCTTTTGTAGCTAGGAGTGTCTCTACCAATGTTCTATTGTGGTAAATAGAGAAAGCTCATGGGTTGGGCACTCAAACCAGAAAAACCTACCATTGTTATGTGGTGTTTCTTGATTTTCATAAATGAAAGAAGCTTGAAGATTATAGAGTGGATTAGAAATTGGTTTTAGCTCAAGGATTCCCATAAATGATGCTACTAATGAAGTTGTGAATCTTAATTGAGGATGTGTGATGAGGTTGTTTTTTCTTGATTGGTGTAGTGGTGAATTTTGATGATGGATGGAGATCAAACCAGTTAGAATACTTGTAAAACAGGTCTCTTTTGTGGTTAGAATACCTTCCAATGACTAAATCAGTGTGAAGAGAGATGGCAGCTTGAAAAGGCAATGGTGTAATAATGTAAGTATATAGAAGATGATGAACAATAGTTGTTAGTAGAGAGATTCGGAACTTAGAACCTTTGGTCTTTTAGCTGTTTATATAGCCATGCGTTTGTCAAGTTACATGAAAGGAGATGTAGGATGGTACCTTCTCTTATTGCCAATAGCTTCTGCAGAAACCTCATGTGGGGTGAAGTGGTTTTCGTTTTGGTCTCATGAAAAATTTCTTTTGCCTGTGGGGGTGTTTATGAAACTAGCTGTGTTATCTAGATAGCAGGATAATAATTCACTGTTCAACCGATTATACATTTTTTGCTTCAAGAAATGATATCAGAACCAGAAGAATCCAACCAAGCTCGATGAAACCGATTCACAGTCATGAAAGCGCATTGTCAAGTTGCCCTGAGTACCAAAAATGTTAGTTTTGAATGTCAGAAATTCCTAACCTGTGATAGGTCACTGCCAAACTCATTACGTTTTTTTTTTTTTTTCTTTCATGTCAGAAGCTGAAACCGAATGAGTTAGGCACTGAATCTCTCAAGCACCGAAAGGGTTTTACCTCGCAACAATAAACTTTTGAAAGGGCTTTACATCCAATCTTGAAAAGGAATCCTCATTCCAACAGCAAAAAGCTAGGGAAACTTGGCTTGGACTACAACTGTTAACTGCAGCAGGTCCATGTAAAGGGAAAGGCTTGTGAGCAGAAGGATAAGCTTCCTTGCTAAATCATCAAGAACGCCACAATAATTTCAAAATGTTAGTCAACCCACTGAAATTTTATGAACAGAACTTCCAAGTTCTTGAAGAGAACTTCCAATCAACCCATTAAACAAAACTGGATAACACCCTTTACTCTTCTGAAACGGTTTAACACAAAAAATTAACAAGGAGATACTCATTACTTGCTCAAAAGCAAAACCTCCAATCATATGCCATCAAGATCTATCACTTTTTCTTTCTTTTTACTACAAGTACACCTGCATTCTAATTTTATCCCAATCAATACCAAAGGGTCTAGAGGTTTAACAAGAACAAAATATCATCGTCAAATCAAGATCAAACTACAGCTGAAATCAAGATCACTTTTGAATATTTTGAATAATAGACAACATTCTTGACCATCTAAATACTCAAATGCATAACAGACAACAGACGAGATTCCCAAAATGTCAGAATCTGTTGTTGCATGACTGAAGAACTTAATAATGACATCTCTAGCATTATGTAAAACATTGCAGGTCTAAATTCTCATTGCAAATCAACCAAAGCCATTGCAACCCAACGAGACAGCAACCATAATAAATCAAACCCTCAACTTTCTTAAAACATCACTTATTTTTTTCTCGTTTGAAATTTCAAGCTACCTTGAGGCATTGACACTTAAAATATTTACAAATAGCAAGGTGATGCAGTTAGCAGCTAAAAAAGATCCATCCATGAACATGTTGAGGATTTCATAAGTTCAACTTCGCTAATCCACCTTCCCATCCAAAAATAGGCGGTCGCAGACGTAAAAACCACTATGCATTTGAGGTCTCAATCACAAAAATGGCATCTTGTGAACTCCAGCTAATGCCAGTAATAGTGTAATACCAAATTCATATAGGAGCAACCACAAATCTGACAGATTTCCATTTCGAAACTAAAAAATGAGTCACCAATGACTAGCTTAAGAAAACCACGGAACAACAATCACCCACATCTCCCCACCAACATGAATATTCACATTAGCAAAGCTAAATACATGAACAAGTCTCCACAGAACATACAACTGCTGTTCGAAGTTGAACCACCGAGCTACAAAAAGTATAATATAATATATGATTTATTGTGTATCTATTTTTCAATTAGTGGAAAAGGTATAATTGGATGTCATAAAATTAAAATAACTGAGGTATTTTTTTTAAATCAGGAGAGCTACGTTCTGCAAAGTAACTAATAAATATACTGAAATACAAGAGATGAATTTATATCTAACCCAAACGAAGGTACAAGACAATAAAGCACTCCAGCAGCATTTTTATTATGATAATAACAATATTCAAAGGATTAAATGGATATAAAACGTTGCTACAAAGCTCAAATAATGATCGTTAAGAAATCTCATCTATACGTACAAGATGGGAGGAAAGAAACAGGCGCAGGCAAATGCGTAAGTGAATAGGTAATATAACTGTCTTAATAATAACAACAAAATAAAAAACATTGTGTATCTAAGTCGTACCATGTAATAACTACATCGAAAATTCTTCCATATACATTTGTTATACCGTATACCGACTCAAAAGTTCTTCGATGCTTCACGTGTTATACCACATATCGACTGAATTTCACTTGTCTTGACACTATCTATACCATGCACAGAGAATCTTAAAAACAGATGTGTCTAACAGGATCTATGCACTTGCTTAAGCCAAATAAATTAAATTACCTCTCAAAACATACATTAATTTTATTTTTTTTATTCAATACTTTTGGGGAAGGTAGATTTGAGCTTAAAGACGACTTCTTTTTTCCCCTATGCCTAACAGGATCCACCTGATTTCATTTTAGAAAGACTCACGAGGCATTCACCACACACACAAGGATAAAGCAACTTAGGGAAAATAACTAAAGAGTAATATGGATAAAAATAGGCTTAGCCACTGCTTATGCCCTCTTGCTGCAAGTAACTGCACAGGTTCTCAGTTCTTAACATCAATACTTAGAGAAGAGGGGGAGAGAGAGAGAGAGAGAGAGGGACAGACCAAAATAAGCAACAGCTGATAACAAAGAGTCCTAAATGAACCTAAATAGAGAATTCTATTGAGTTGCAGCTCCAATTAAGAGGAAGAACTAGGCAATGAGCTCACTTTTTTCAGGAGACCTTTAATCTCAGTCTCTAATTTGGCTCTCATCTCTGGAGAAAGATTATCTCCTGACTTCTCCAGCATTGATGTCATCATCTCTAGATTCTGTCTTATAAAGTCAATGGGTGGTACCTCGGCAAGCTTTGGCAATGACCCAGAAGCCTTCGCAGGTGTCCCAAATCCCTTGGTGCGCTGAGAGGCCGAAGCAGCTGGAAGTAGATGAAGACGGTAATTGATGAGGGTTGCACCAAAGGGATTAGCCTTCTCTATACTCCTAACTGCTTCAACTGCATCAGTGCTCTTCATGAAAACAACCTGGGCAGTAGAAGAATCTTTCATCACCCGCATCAGTGATCCCTTCAAAGGCCCAAACCTGCAAAACGTTGCAACCAGAATTTCTTTCGAAGGCATGGGGTTTCCTGAAGCAAATGTCAAGAGCAGAGCAGTTGCCGGAGCCTCCCCATTGGTCTCTGCTTTATTGTAATCCATGTTCCCAGCGGTGGCTTTCTTTCTTGGTCGCCCCACAGTACCTTCTCTTTTTTCCTTCTCTTCTTCTCAGGTTTGGCCAATGCGCCTGGTTCAGCTGTAGTCCCATTTAAATCTGGTATGCCAGCAGCAAGCATACTCTGCTCAGTAGTTGATTTCTCCTTTCTCTTTCTTTTTTTGGGCACAGGCTTACCTTCCGCTGAGTGTGGCAATATGACTGGAATAGAACTGTTTCCATACAAGCTTTTTACACTAGCAGTAACCCCCTCCCTGTTACTTTGCTCAGGAATAGCATTTATTGAGGATGGGCCAGTCACCTGCAAATCCACTAACTGCTTGCCAGGTTCAGTTGTACTCCCATTCTCTTCTAGTAAGCCTACTTTCTTTTTCCTTCTGTTTGGCTTGGGTTTACCTTCAGAAGCAACATGGCCCACAATTTCTGAATTTTCTACCAATAAATTCGGCACAGCACCATTGCTGTTTAAGTCTGGTATGCTAGTGGGGACGTTGATTTGTTGACCTGCTGGGATTGCTCCTTGCTTCGTCTGTGTTTTCTTAGGCTCAGGTTTTCCATTAGGTTTGGGAGGGCCTATTTCTTGGGGAGAATTTAAGAATACGCCATCTGCAGCTATGTTTATGTTCACATCTGATAAACCAGAAAGAGATTTAATTTTTGACCTAGCTGAGTTTCTAGAGTTCTTTTTGCTCTGGGCTTTCTGCCCAGCCTTAGCATTTGGCGGAGTCTGAGTCTGATTTGTCTCCTGTGCATCTTTTCCCAGCGATGCATCATTATTGCTCCCAATCACATTCTTGCAATACATTTCATAAATGGATTCATCATGATACACTGATATTCTGAACCTTGAAAAGAACCACTCAACTAAGTCGAAATTCTTACTCTCATTTGGGTAGCGACAATCCACAGCTGTAAAACAGAGTTCAGAGAGCAAATCGATAGCAGATGCATTTATCAACTCTGGGTTCTTGGATATATCATTCCCACTTATGAATTTTCTGATCCAATTCTTCTGGAACCTCTTGCCACTAGATTTAGAAACTGAATGGGACCCAATAAATTGACCAGCTACTGGATTGACATCTTCGGCTTCTTGAGAAACTTCCTGAGGCCCTTGGTCTTCTGCCTGACTAGGCAAGCTTTTGACTTCCCAATTCACATAAGGATATGACAAATACTTGCTCTTCTTCCTTTCTCTCAATTCCGAGCTCTTCTCCAGCGTTAAAGAAGAACCCGAGTGGCATTTGTCCTCCATAAATGGAGGCGGCAATGGACTGACATCAGGACCTTCCACTTTGAGTTCAGAATACTTTCGCTTTCTCTTCCCAGAATTTGATGTCATATCATTAGAGACAAAATTTTCTTCAGGAGTGTTGCTTCTGCAATTCTCTTTCACATTCAGGTCCCCTCCAAAAATCACAGCCAGGTCTTCACTTTTCTTTTGTCGTAGAATTTCACCCTTTGTGCTCTGCAATTTCCCTCCATATGGTGTTGAATTAGGGTCTCCACTGCAGACCTTGGAATTGCCTTTTGCTACAAACAGGTCAACAGCACCTTCTTCATCAGCAGTTGCATCCCAGAGTTGATTCATAGGTAATTGCTTATGTCCTATGTATTGATAAAATGATGACAGACGATTCTTTGCAACAGTTAACTCAAGTACACCAAGCTTGGAAACGAACAGCGCAAGATCTTTAATTTGTGCAAGGAGCTTTTCTGGTTCAAACTGAGTAACTGAAAATTCACCAAATCTGCACTCTAGAACGGAAACTCCCTCCTGAAAACCACCATTGCCAGCTGATTGCCAACCTTCTTTGAGAATACAGGAACAAGTCATCTCTGATCTGAGGCACCTACCAAACTCATCAACAGCCTTCTCCACTGCTCCAAGGAAGCTTCTAGCCTTGTTTTTTACCTCCATCTGTTCAAAATCCTCATGGAAAGGCTTTAACTGAGATGGCAAGCACCAAGCAATGTGGCTACTCCCCAAGTACCCAACCAATAAGCAGTTCCTCTGATCACTCTGCACAGCATACTTTGTCACAACTAACGGATCATAAATTTTTCCTGGCCACCAAGATTGATTTTTTGTTTTAACCCAGACAACATCACCCACACGAAACTTAAAATTGAACACTTCCTTCTCATTATCAGCTTCTTTAGACTCTTCACTCCCCAAAAACCCAGAGCAATTCACATCATCAAAATCAACTCCAGTCAGAGAACCAGAAAGATCCACGTAAATTGATAAATTGTCTCCAGAAACATCTATCTTCCTAGGAGAATCAACAGCATCAAGTCCCAACAGCTCATCTTCCTTCAATTCATCATCTCTCATAGTATTCTCAAGAACAACTCCGTCTTCCTTCAATTCCTCATCTCTCGAAGTATTCTCGACAACAACTCCATCTTCCTTCAATGCCTCGTCTCTCACATTATCCTCAACAACTCCATCTTCCTTCAATTCCTCATCTGTCACAGTATTCTCAACAACAACTCCCTCGCTCACAGTACACCCCAAATCTACCAACTTTTCAGCCAATGCCTCATCCACAGGACCCTTTCCCTCCTCAACTGCCTTATCAATACCATCATTCACCAAATAAACCTCCTCATTTCCAGAAACATTGACACCATTCACTTCAATATCAACCATTGCGTATTCACTCCCACCGAAATTCTCTCCTTCAACAACATCAAGCCCTGTAACCGGCTCCACATTACCAACCCCAAGATCTTCCCTTTCTGCAGCAACTCCTTCACCATTTTCTTCCACAGGAACCTCAAAACTTGACTCTAACCCAGCACAGTTCTCACCTAAATCAAACAGCCCAGAAGACCAAGAAGCCCCTTCTAGATGTTTGTCATCTGGGTTTTGAGCTTCTAGGGTTTTGTCATCAGGGAACTGCGCTTCTAGGGTTTCTAGGGTTTTAGGGTTTTCCATTCTCAGAAAGCTTCTCTCCTTTTTTAACAATCTCAATACATCCAGCTGATCATTAACAAACAATAAGAATAATAAATAAATAACAAAGCTTTAATAACGTGCTGATATTAAAAATAAAAATAAAAAATAGCCACTAATTAAATTAAAATAGTAATTTATAAACAATATAAAAGTACCTGAAACCACAAAATGAAAGGGTTTGCATAATGTGCCAAAAGTCCAGTCCAGGACTCGCTGTAACCTGACTCAGTGAGTTAAAGAAGAAAAGGAGCAAGATTCCTCTACAATGTGTTGAGAGAGAGAGAGAGAGAGAGAGAGAGAGAGAGAGATGGAGATGACGGGACAGGATGGTATGGGATGTGTGTTTAAAAAGCTGAGAAAGCAAGTTAGCAAAAGATACGTCAATAATCAGTCTCTGCCAGTGTCAGAGAGAGAGAGAGAGAGAGAGAGAGAGAGCTGGTGTTTGTTTGATTGCTTATGTGTAAGCAAGCAGGTCCGTTTTTGGGGAATCGGCTAGGGAGAGAAGTGTGTAGATTTTTGGATTTTGTAACAGACACACATGAACATGAACGCATTATAGCTTGATAAACATTAATTTGGAAGGAAAAAGAAAACTGTAATGTAGCAAATATTGGGTTATTAAAATGTGATATTATTCATATTTCTTTTTTATAAGAATATGATTATACATTATGAATATGATATATTCATACAATATACGTACCATATACGTATTGGACGTAAGAGTTTGATTTTTTTTTAAAAAAAAAAAACATAAACATAAATAATATAGAGTTTGATTATGTTTATTTGTGAAACTGTCAAGGGAAATTAATGAAAGCAACCCCTCCAAACAACTCCATCTGTTCATCTCTTTGTTTTGCTCTAAGTTCGTTGTTGATTTCTTGGTTTTTGGTGAGGCTCATGAAGGTGAGGTAAGGAGTTTGAAATATTTATAAATCGTGTTGTTCCACTCATTGTTTCAAATTAAACTAAGTATTTCTTCCTTTTCCTTTTTTCGCTTCATGCTTTTGAATTTCAAATTCTAAACAAAGTCAACACGGGAAGGTAAAAACAAACACAAGTATTAATATCTTAGATCTATATGGTATTCCGAGAATCGACCTTGAGACCTCTCGCACCCAAAGCGAGAATCATACCACTAGACGAAATGCCATAATGCGTTACAGTTTGGAATAAATATGTAATTAACTATGTTTTTCCTAAACATAAAAGGTACTCTTCAATTTTATTTTTCAATTATGCATTAAAAATCTCCTAATAATTCAAGAATTGTACTCGTATAGCTAGAAATCACTACTTAGATGGTAACACTTTCTTTACAAGATAAATGTATTTTGGCATCCAACTTTATATATATATATATATTAGTGTCCAAACATCAATTTCTAATGATTGGCTATCTAATTTTATATTTGTTTTTTCCTATTTTGGTGCTCGAAATCACATAAAAGCTAATTTTGCTTATGTGTCCAATGATTTCTACCATGTGGTATTTTTTTAACTATCATATGACAGTTTTAACTAACATGTTAGATAAAAAAAAAAAAAAATCTAAACTAAATTTTAATTAAGTTAATGAAAAGAAAAGAAAAATTATTTGCCAAAACCTACAATCTTCCTTTTGTCTCTTCCTCTCCTCACCGATAGCTAAAAATAAAAAATAAAAAATCCTAGCTACCAAGCAACATCCCTCTGTCTCTTCCTCTCATTCTTCCTTCCATGTACATAGTTTGCCTATCTCTACCTTTTCGTCCCCAACCAATACCTCTTTGTCTTTTTCTCTCCTTCTTCTCCTTTTCCATACCACTATAGCCACCATTGCCAAAAATCCATGCAAAACCAACCATTATCGGCCAAAACCCATAAAAAACTAGCCATTAAAAACCCACACCAACACCGCCATCTCCACTAAGGCCCGACCTATACACTAACATCCTAATCTTTCATTCCTACAACTTTCATTAATGTTGTGATGATCCGAAAACGAATTGGTGGAATTGAAGATCCAAGGAAGAGGATCAAGGGATTAGGGGTTAAAGCTATTTGTTTGTTTGAATTTTTGCTTTTTTCTTAAAAACATTTACAAGGTCTTGAATTTGTGGATTTGGTTGAATTTTGGTGGTTGTTGGATAGGTTTTTGGTGGTGATAGTAATGGTTGGAGGCTTTAGTGTGCAACTAATGAGGGTTTTGTAATAGTTGTCGAGGTTGGGCTAGGTAATGGTTGGATGGATGGCATGGGCTTAGCTTGGCTTTTGTTGCGGTGGTGGCTATTATGTGTTGGAAAATGGCCGACGTTAGTGATTTGATTTGGTGATGAGAGACACAACTAAAAGATGATAGTGGCTTGTGATTTTTGAGGCTAAGAGAGGTAAAATAACGGAAGAGTAGTGGTTGTTTATAGGAGAGTAGTAGTTGTTTATGGCGAGATAGTGAGGTGCGTAGAGGTTGACTTGGATGGTATGGCTAGGTTTTGTGTTGATTGAAGAGGATGACAACGGTGGACTCGTGGAAACTAGGTGGAGGTGATATACCTTTTGGTCAAGGTAAGATAAGCAAATTTGTTGTGAGGTAGAGGTTTTTTTGGATGCTCATCTCAAACGATGGTGAGAGAGTGGACGGTGTTATGGTCGTCTATAGAAGGAAACAATGACGAAGTTTTTTGTACCGATAAGGGTTTTGAGTGAGGGAAATGGCCGCCACCAATGGTGGAGGGTTAGTGGTTCGATCGTTGTGGTATGGTTGATGATGACATAAGAGACAATGAAGGCTTAAAATTTATGGTAAGGTTTTGGCGGGGTGGGAGAGTTTGGGAGAGGAAAAAAGGCTATCTCTTTCATCGTAATTTCGGTAGTTTTAAAATTTAAGGAATTAATGAAAGTTAATTAAAATAATAATATTTTTTCATTAGAATTTGATTTAAAATTTTTTTCACCCAACATGTCAGTCAAAATTGTCATATGGCAATTAAAAAATACCATAGGGCGAGAGATCACTAAACATGTTAGAAAAATTAGCTTTCAAGTGACTTTAGGCACCAAAATAGAAAATAAATCAAAAGTTGGGTAGCAAATCATTAAAATAGATAGTTGGATACCAAAAATGTCTTTATCTCCTTTTTCTTATTATCTAAATTGACTACTTAAATACTTAATTGTGTTTTTTTTTTTATGAAGAGAAGATGTTGAATAAGATGAATAAGGCTATCGATCCTTTTCATAACCCTATCCAACTCTAAGAACATATTTTGTTTATTGAAGAATGATACATGTAAAGGAGAAGATGAAGCAAAAAAGCTAAAATGAGAGAAATTAAATTGAATTGGAAATTTAGAGTTTAATAAAGTTATACGTAAGTAGGCTCGGTAGTAATTAAATCGAAATTTGGTTAAATACCATTATAGGCCTATGTAATGTTATGGGCTCGAATCATTATTTTTAGCATAGCCTACTTCAATTATTACTTGTCTAAAAAATTCTAGCTATACTCTAGATATAAAGTGAACAATAAGATAAAATAGCTCAATATACAATAACAAAATTTATGTTTTACTTTTTTCTCTTTTTTTCTTTCCTTCTTTTTCTCTTTTGCTCTATTTCTTCTTTTATCTCTATCATCCGATATTAGAGCCAATGATCCCTACATCACCCTTACATGGAAAAAAATACAAAACTCGGATGATCTTTGCATGCTGGAAGAAGCTTTCAAGGCTTGGCTTAAGACACAACTAAAAATTTTGAAGAAATAACTCAAGGGTTAAAAAATCACTCGAAAAAATTGGAACAAGTTCACAAACAACAAGAAGATGGATTTGTATAACTCACCCTACCGACTATATTAATGGCTTCATCATCCAACCATATGGTTTTGCTAGTCCTCTCTCTTCACACAAACATGATTTCCATCAGCACCCTTACCATCTAATCTCATATTACTCACACCCACAACTACCATGATTCATCCCTTCCTTAACCCTTTACCTATGCTCTTTATAAAACCCAACAATATATGTTTTAAGTTCAACAATTGTTGTAAACCTTGAAAGCAAAATAAATATTTTTCAATTTTTGAAGTGAATGACATCAACAAATGGTTGAATTAAGTGTCATTAATTTTGATATTGAGTATGAAAAGGCTCAATATGTTTTTTTCTTCCTCAATGGTAGAGCATTACACTAGCACCAAGCCTACACATAAAGCTTTGATAGCAAATTGATTTATAATGAGTATGTAGCTGCAATGACAAGTAGATTTGGCATAAAGTTAGATTTCTTAGGTCAATTGAAAATTCTCATTCAAACTATTGATTTGGAAACATACATATAAGAGTTTGATGTTTTGTGAAACAAAGTCGACATTAATGATTAGCAAGTCGTACGTATGTTTTTTTACTAGTTTAAGAGAAGATACTCAAGGTCCAGTTTCAATGTTTGAACTTCAAACCCTCACCAAAGCTTATGATTGAGCTTAAAAGCAAGACAATACTAATACTTATAATAAGAAAAACCACTCTAAATTTTCATTAACCTACACCACCAAAATATCAATTATATTCATCAACTTTAGCCCAATTGCTAGACCTCTATATAACCCTTTTACCTACCACTACACCTTACATACCTAATAAATACAAACAATCATATTAACCCAAAACCTTAACTAGCAAAAATAGCGAGAACCTATACAATATTGATTGATGTATCCATTTGAAAGGTAAATATTTTTTTATTTTTTGACATCCGTTATTAATTAACTCTTGAAAATATTTGTTAAGTATAATGCATTTATAATATTATTGTAGATACCTTTGAAAATTAAAAAACAATGTTAAGAACAAAGCTAGAGTCAAAGGGTCAATATACAACGCATATTTAGTTAAGGAAGCTTCAATGTTCCGTTTATATTACTTCGAGCCTCATGTACACACTAGGCATCGAAAAGTGCCTCGAAACTTTGAGGAACATCAAAATGACTAGCATTAATAAAATCATTCTTGGAATCATGTTTCATGTGAACTAGTATATGAAAACATGTTTGACTAGTTTTCAATACTTGATGACATCATTTTCATTTCGAATTTCTTCCTACCTTTCTCTTTTCCAACATATTCTCTTTTAACGTTTTTAAGCAATTATCAATATTGGTGGCAATTTGCTCTTCTATAAGCTTTTAGATATAACGCACTTGTGATAGCATTTTTAACAACTTTTCTATCGATACTTTTAAAACGGACCTCTAATTATCATACTCGATGCTATCGGGAGCTATCATATTCATTCCTTCATCATTGGTTGGTATGTCATTTAGAAGGAAGTTGATATTTTCACAACGATGTACTGTGATAGAAAAAGGAATGGTGAGCTTAAAAATAATTAAGGAACATGATAAAAAATAGTCGTCACCTAGTATTAATGGTCATTAGAAACCAAATGATTAGTTTGCTTCAAGTTCTAGGATAAGAGATTGGTTATGTGTAGGAAAGGGTTTTTCTGTCTCTTTTTAGGTTCGGAAAGAGGTGCATTGCATAAAAGTCTAAACATAATTCCCGATTTTTATTTTGATGAAATTCTATGCTTATTTATGAATGTTTGCTAGCATATCGGAGACAAATCAATTGAGTGATTTGGGATTTGGCTAATCAAAGGTCTTTTTCTCACTCAAAAGGATATGTCATAAAAACAAAAAGAAAATGAAAATTGGGTAAACCTAACCGAATGAAAATCCATAAATTTTATTAAATGCATGAGTTGAAAACTCATGGTTTTTCATCAAGAATATGAAATGAAAACTCACATAAGTATGCATGAAATAAAAGCTTATGGCTTTGAATGACTTTTGCTCATAATTTGTGAAATAAAACTCATGACTTCACTTAGAATATCTCATAATGCATGAAATGAAAACTCATGATTTCACCTTGAATGTGTGAAATGAAAACTCACGACTTTACCTATAATGCATGAAGTGAAAACTCATAACTTCACTTAAAATGCATGAAATAAAAACTCATGACTTCACTCATGATTCATGAAATGAGAACTCACAACTTAATTTGTATGCATGAAAAAAAAAAAACCCACATCTTAATTTATGTAGATGAAATAAAAACCCACATCTTAATTTGTATGAATGAAATGAAAAGTCACTTCTTAATTTGAATGCATGAAATGAAAACACATGACTTAATTTGAATCATATCACAAAGATATTTCAACATGAATATTTGAATTTCACATACTCAAGAATGTCTAGTTACCCATCAATTTGCAGCACGAATAAATTCACACATCAATTTGAGCATTATGAGTTTGTAAATCATGATAATCACATTTTCAAAAAGATTGTTACAACATAAGCATTCAATTTTCATATAGATTGAGGAATATCAAAGTTCATAAATAGTTTCATTTCTAAATTTGCCCATTGATTCAAACATCATAATTTCAACGTAAACATTTCAAGCAAACAATCAATTTGCATCCCAAAGAGATTGATATTTATCTTAGATAAACCTTAAATATAAAACTCAATGCCACCCTTCCAATTTATAAGAAAAGTATTGAGTCCGATCTTATTCACCTTAACATACTTTGGACCTCTTAAGTTGGGTACACGATGGTGTATCTCAAGCACACTTTGAGCAATCCATTCGCATTTATATTATATTTTTCATCATCATAATTATTCTAAAAATAATAAGAGAGTATACATTAGTTTTGAAATTTTTTCCCAACGATCAATGGGACGATGGAGAGCTACTTGGAAGGGTCGATTATGTATCTTCTACGTGAAATTACTAAATCACCCATTAGGTTAGTATTGTTTTCTTTAACACGATGATGATTGCACCAATCACTATCAATAAAGAAGGAGAAATTAATTTATTTTTGCATCAAAACAAATCATATGGCCATTTTCATTCTAACTAGAGAGTTATTCAAAACTAAAATCTAACAAAAAAGCCCTAGACAATATGTCTACTATCAAACTAGGTAGTCAAGTTTAGAAGCTCGTTTTGCTTGATTCGACTTCTTATTATTATTGATAACTAATAACTGCGAGCGAACTTTTGGCTATAGGTTTATGTTATGATGAAAGGGTAGCGGGTTTTAATGAGGTTAGTTATGAGTGCGTGAAGGATTGTTTCTCGGCATTTGAGGGCATGAAGGTTAGTGGAAGTAGGTAGGTGTAGGCATTTTGAAGGTGACAAGAATTTAGAGAGAGGTTATCAATTCATTGTGGTTATGTGGTTTTGGGTGAGGATAGATGTGGTGGCTATTCGAATGATAGTGTGGGGGGGAAGAGATGAGGTTATCAATACAAATGGAGTGGGTTTAAGTGATGGAGGTTATCAACAAGGTCGGTGGTTGTTAGTAATATATATTAGTTGATGGTGGGTGAGAGAAAAGGCTATTGATGATGCTAAAATGGCTTTAAGTGATAGAGGTGATCGGTGATAGGTTGTGGATATGGTCAAAATAGGGCTATTGGCGATGGTGAAAGTGGAGAGGTGGTTAGTCGGTTAGAGGTTTTATGTGAGAGAGAGCAATTGGTTTCTAAGGGATGTCTTTAAAAAAATACCCCTTATCTTTTTTTTTTCTTTTTTGGAGAAGAGAAAAAGGTTCTTATATAGTAGGGCCTTAGGGTTTTTTTTTTTTTATCAAATTTCATTTTAGTCTTTCATTTTCCCTACCATTTCTATTTTAATCCTTCAATTTTTTATTCTACTTCAATTGTATTTGTTAGTGTAGGTGCCTAAGATCCAACTTATTTGGATGGTTCGATATATTATAATATTACCTCATAATATTAATAAAAGAAGTCTTTTTATTAATTCTTATTATTTATAATTTGATAGAATTAGATAAAAGTCCATAAGATATACATTACATTAATGATTAATGAAAGATGTGAGACAAATATCAATGCACTTAAATGATATCATTAAATTTCTTAAGTCATAGCATTGTCAAGAATTGAAATTAGTTGTATACGATAAGACTTGTGAGTGCCACTCTTGCCATAAGATAGTAGTAGGAGATCTTACGCCTATTGACATGATGATGCCAAAACAAACACTTAGGTGATTAATGTTAGAGAACATAACACTGGATATGACTCATTATGAGAACTCATTTGGTATAATCTATCGAATCTCATATAAGATGGGTACAACTAGTCCTTTAACTTGAAGTCATCACGGTTATCTTATTAGAGAAATTATGGACTTTAATATTCATTTTAATGGGCTTAGTAAAAAGTTGCATGTGGGCAACTTGTTAGGTGCGATAGGAATCTAATGGAGATAGGTGGATGACTAAGATAGGATATGTCATTCCTTACATGCTAAATAAGTTATCACATTACACTTCGATGAATATCTACTCAAGAAATCTATGCCCATACTAGGAGTATAACAATAGAACATAGTTGGTTTGTTTTAGAGCTAAGACATTTGAAAATATAGAAAACTTGTGTGATCATAATCGAATACACAATAAACCAAGTTCGAGATCGCACCATGATAAATTGACATAATGATCGAATTGTATGAAAACTATACTCATGAAAGGTAATTATGGATTAATTAATCCTTCTAGAGAATTGGATAGTCATGATGCCTAGCTAGAGGCTAATCTAAATTTTGTATTAAGAGATAAAAGAGGTGTATTTTATCTTCTTGATATGTTATCAATGTATCTAGAAGCCTACCGAGTCACACACATTAGTTTAAACATTCACACGATACAAGAAAAGCAAATGTTATTGGAAAAAGTTTCTGTTTTGGAAAGTTTTCAAAGTTTCCTAGTTTGAAAAATTAGTTTCCTAAAAATAGAAAGGTAGTTTCGTATTTTAGAAATTAGTTTCCTAATTTGGAAGTCAATTTCAAATTTAAAAGACAATTATCTAAAAAGAAAATTAGTTTCCTAATTCAAGTTCAAAGGTAATTTAGGAAATTGTTTCTTAATGTGGGCCTCACTAAAATACTTGGCCCAATTTATTTGGTTGGTTGAAATTAATTGATAATTAATTAGGCCAATAGGTTTAATTTAAAAGTCTACAAGGTATTTTGGTAAAGGGATAATCTTGAGCACTATTGGATAAGGCCGAGGGTTTATAAGGATAAGATCAAATAAGCTTATACTTCTTATAACTTCTTGTCCTTATAGGATAAAGCTACCATAACTTCTTCTCCTTGTAGGTCAAAGATGCTACCACACACATACACGTATATATATATATATATATATATATATGTGTGTGTGTGTGTGTGTATATATATACGTGTGTGTGTGTGTGTGTGTGTGTGTGTGTGTGTGTGTGTGTGTGTATATATGTGTGTGTGTGTGTGTGTGTGTGTGTGAGAGGAGATAGATGACAAGAATAAGAAAATAACAAGAGAGAAAACATTTTTCTCCCCTAAATAAAAGTTGCTGCATCTCTCCCTAAAAAAGCCAAAAAGTTGATGTAAACTACCCGATAGGATTTCTAGAGAAAAATTCACTCGCACAAAATAGTTGGAGTTAGCACATGATGATTTTTGTTGTTTCTTGTGTCGATGTTTGAGTTACATGGATAATCAATAGAGGTCGAATACTCGGAAAGTTCCTTTCCACTTAAATTTTTTTCTACACTAGAAAAGGTAACACTCATCTTAATTTGATTCATGTTTATGTATGATTAGTAGATTCAACAACATGATCTTGAGAACCCCGAGATAGAGAAAATTTTTTTGTTTATTCCACACCTCTATAGGATGTATGATCCCTTCAATTAGTATCAAAGCCTTTGTTAAATGTTTAATTGTATGTTTATGTTAAATGTGATTAACTATTTGAGTTATTATTTTCTAATTATAAATCTAGGGCTTTTGGTATTTCACAATAATTTTAAAATTGAATTGGGTAAGAAAATAATGGGTGCACATGAGGTCAACATTGGACGTTAGAGCTCGTACGCGCATTAATATTTAGGCCGGAGCGCATGCCTCACACATGCTGGGCCTATGGCAAAGCGAAGCGTGCCTTGCCTATGCCGGGCATGACCAAGGTAGGCATTCGTAAGAACACCGGGCATGCCTAGTGCATGCTACGCTAGTGGGGTCGCTAGCTAGTGCGAGGCATTAGCTAGTTGGCTAACTACCCATATAAGGCACCGGCTAGTGTCCGGGGCCGAGCTAGGTGCACGCAAGCGCTAATGCTTAGTGGCTAGTACTAGGCTAGTGGAAGCTTTTGGCCTATGCTAGACATTGGTCATCCAGGGCATGATGGCTAATAGGCCTCCTAGACCCAAAAACCTATAAGCCTAAGGCTTAAAAATCTAAAAAATGAAAATTTAAAGAAAATTTTAATTTTTATAAAATGAAAAAAACCAATAGATTTATAATTTTGATTAAAATAAAATGTGTTTCATTTGCTTATATGCCATATATCAATATGATTGAAGCATGTGTGGTATGAACGAGTCGACCTAGTTTTAAGAATGTGTACTTATAAATTTTTAATTAAATAAGGCTTGTGTGTCCTGCTTTTTCTATTATTCTAATATATTTTTCTTCTCATCTTACACCCTTCAAATGTAACTCGATGTTTTTTATTCAAAGAATTATAAGAGTAGAAGATAGATTATTAAAATAGATGCAAGCGAAGAAGCCAAGAAGAGAAGACAATCTTAAAAATTTTGTAATAACTTTTCACTTAGGTATTAGACCCACTAGTCTCCTTATGGTTCAAGGCGACTAGTAGTAGAGATCTATTACCATTCATCGGTATTTGAGTCATACATGAAATTGATGTGATTGAACTCTTATATATATGATTTTGATATGATTAATATCTAATATGCATGCTAGGATTAAAATAATGAGACCTATTATATTAAATCCTTCAAATTAATATCAAGTTAAATGCCTTCTAATGTTATGAGGTGAGAATTTTATTAGTAATTATTAACTTATTTAGATAACTCAAAGTCACTCCTTCCTTAAGGGAACCAAATCATGCTTTCCCTTTTTTTTTCTTTCTTCTTTCCTTTTGTTCCTTTCCTCTTTTGTCATGTTTTCACTCTTTCGCACTTTGCTTTTCTCTCTTGTTTTGTAAGCTACGATTTTGGACTAAAAATAGCAACCATATACTTCACTTCTATATATATATATATATATATACACACACTTTATTTTCTTGTAGTTAATAGTAATACAAATGTCCCAAAGTAATATGGAAAAGTGTAAAGTGAGGGGTGACGAAAAGGAGCAACTGGTGGGTTTGTTTGGATTTGGCTAGTCGGGGTGTGTGAGCTAGCTTTTAACTTATTAATTAGGGTGCTTAGGTGTCCTAAATATGTACTAACTACATAATTAAACTAACTACTACCCTTAATCTAGTTTATTTCCATTGACAAAGTCCCTTAAGGTAGTTTAGTTTAAGTAACAAACTTATTAAATCCGGTTGTACCGCATACATGACAGGGCAACCTCTTATCAAAGAGCAAAGTCCCTCTTCTAGACACCATTAAATCTTATGCTTTTTATATAAGAAACTAAACATATTAAGGTACAAAATATCCAAAAATTAGGTTAAAACACCCAACACACAAGTCACAACGACATTTTAAAGTTTAAGGATCAATCTATCCAACGAGTATTGTGTCTAGAGTAGTGTGTACTAAAATAGGCATAATGTTTTATATATAAACCTAATAATCAATTATTGTACAGAGTGTTATTTAAGACATAGATAAAAAAACTTTTATTCTTTAAGGTTCGCCCATAAATCACTCGTAAGGTCAATGAATAAGTCACACATAATCGGGACATAATCTACTTCTCAAAAACACCGATTTTGCATACTTGATTATGCTAATAATTAAAGCATCAATGTCAAGTAAAATTTTTTTAATTTAACACCAATCATACATTTCGGGCATTAATTTCTCATGGTGTAATTTTTAAAATTTTATTCCATAGATCCTCACCTAAACACTTAGTATGTTGTCATCCCAAAATACTCAAATGGCATATATACACAATCACACCTTCACTTATTTGAAGATTTCGACCTATATATATTATATAATTAAGGATTTTCATTGGGGTTACGAATGCTTTAAAAAATGGAGAGAGTCCACGAAGAAGAAGATGCAAGTGATGGTGATGATGATGAGGGGTTTTCGGAGCGATTTTCATCTATCATGTTCGAGATATACCAAGTCGAGCTCCTAAGGCTTGGACTCCTCTCTTCTTTTCTCTCCTTTGTTAGTGTATATATATAACGATGAAGTTGCAAGAAACATAACAATAAGTTTTTTTCCTTTTCCGAGATAAGTACAACCATAAAGATTTGGAAAGGAAAATTTTCTTCGGATGAAAGATAGACATCCATCAAATTTTCCATACCATTGTACTTGAATCAAATGTCTTTATTTCAATTTACTTAATTTCTTTTTGAATAATTCCAAAAAAATTTTAAATCCGCATTAATTATCAAATTTCTTCTAATTAAAATAGGGGCAATTATTAGCAACACCTAACACCAATTAATGTGGCTTTAAATCGGAAGGTAAGAATATCCAATAAGCATGCGGTATCGAATAAGAAGTTGAAGCTACTCGACATAATCCATCGAATTTGGCCTAAGAAATCTACAAAAGACTTCAACCAAAATCCCAAACCTAATTAGTGGTGCTGCCTCCGAAAGTTTAGTAGTGCTTCTTCAAAAAATTAAGAGAGTCTATAAAGAAGAAGATGGAGGTGATGGTGATGATGATGAGGTATTTTCGGAGCGATTTTCATCTATAATGTTGGAGATATACCAAGTCAAGCTCCTAAGGTTTGCACTCCTCTCTTTTTTTCTTCTTCATTTTAGTGTATATATATAATGATGAAATAGCAAGAAACACAGGAATAAGTTTTCTTCCTTTTACGAGATAAGTATAGCCATAAAGATTTGGAAGGGAACATTATCTACTAGGTGAAAGATAGACATCCATCAAATTTTCTATACTAGTGGATTTGAATCAAATCTCTTTCTTTCAGTTCACTTTATTTCTTTTTGACTAATTCCAACAAAGTATTCAATCGACATAAATTATCAAATTTTGTCTAATTAAAAAAGGGGCAATTATTAGCAACACCTAACACGAATCAATGTGGCTTTGAATGAGAAGGTAAGAAAATCCAATAAGCATATGGTATCGACTAAGAAGGTGAAGGTACGCTATATAATCCATCGAATCCGGCCTACAAAATCCATCAAACACTTCAACCAAAATCAGAACCCTAATTAGTGGTTCTGCCTTTAAAAATTTGGTAGTCGTTGCTTTGAAAAATGGAGAGAGTCCATGAAGAAGAAGATGGAGGTGATAGTGATGGTGATGCCGATGAGGGATTTTCGGAGCGATTTTCATCTATCATGTTGGAGATATACCAAGTCGAGCTCCTAAGGTTTGCACTCCTCTATTTTTTCTTCTTGTTTGTTATGTGTATATATATATATATATATATAATGATGAAATAGCAAGAAGCACAACAATAAGTTTTTTTTCCTTTTCCGAGATAAGTACAACCATAAAGATTTGGAAGGGAAAATTATCTCGTTGGTCGAAAGATAGACATTCATCAAATTTTCTATACTGAGTGGATTTGAATCAAATCTCTCTTTAAATTCACTTAATTTGTTTTTTAATAATTCAAATAAAATTTTCAATCAGCATTAATTATCAAATTTCTTTTACCTAAAGTAGGGGTAATTATTAGCAACACCTAACGAAAATTAATGTGGCTTTGAATGAGAAGGTAAGAAAATCCAATAAACAAGTGGTATCGAATAAGAAGGTGAAGCTACCCAATAGAATGCACCGAATCGGCTCTGTAAAATCCTCCAAACACTTCAACAAAAATCACAAACCTAATTAGTGGTGTTGTATTTGAAAAAATTAGTAATGCTTGCTTTGAAAAATGGAAAGAGTCCATGAAGAAGAAGATGTAGGTGGTAGTGATGATGATGAGGGATTTTCGAGTGATTTCATCTATCATGTTGGAGATATACCAAGTCGAGCTCCTAAGCTTTGCACTCCTCTCTTTTTCTTCTTCTTTGTTAGTGTATATATATAACGATGAAATAGCAAGAAACACATCAATAAGTTTTTTTTCATTTTTGAGATAAGTACAACCATAAAGATTTGGAAGAAAAATTATCTATTGGGTTAAAGATAGACATCCATCAAATTTACGTGCCGATGGATTTGAATCAAATCTCTTTCTTTCAATTCACTTAATATCTTTTTTAATAGTTCTAACAAAATTTTCAATCGGCATTAATTATCGAGGCAATTACTAGCAACACCTAACACGAATTAATGTGGCTTTGAATGAGAAAGTAAGAAAATCCAATAAGCATGTGGTATCGAATAAGAAGGTGACGACACACTATATAATCCATCGAATCGGCCTAAAAAATCCACCAAACATTTTAACCAAAATCAAAACTCTAATTAGTGGTTTTACCTTTGAAAAATTTAGTATTGCTTGTTTTGAAAAATAGAGAGAGTCCATGAAGAAGAAGATGGAGGTGATGATGATGAGGGATTTTTAGAGCCATTTTCATCTATCATGTTGGAGATATACCAAGTCGAGCTCCTAAGGTTTCCACTCCTCTCTTTTTTCTTCTTCTTTGTTAGTGTATATATATAACGATGAAATAGCAAGAAGCACAACAATGTCTTTTTCCTTTTCTAAGATAAGTACAACCATAAAGATTTTGAAGGAAAAATTATCTATTGGGACAAAGATAGACATCAATCAAATTTTTTATACCATTGGATTTGAATCAAATCTCTTTCTTTAAATTCACTTAATTTGTTTTTTAATAATTCAAAAAAAAATTTCAATCGGCATTAATTATCAAATTTCTTCTACCTAAAATAGGGAAAATTATTAGCAACACCTAACACAAATTAATGTGGATTTGAATGAGAAGGTAAGAAAATCCAATAAACGAAGTGGTATAGAATAAGAAGGTAAAGCTACCTAATAGAATCCATCGAATCTAGCCTATAAAATCCACCAAACACTTCAACAAAAATCACAACCCCAATTAGGGGTGCTTGTGTTTGAAAAATTTAGTAATGCTACTTTGAAAAATGGAGAGAGTCCATGAAGAAGAAGATGGAAGTGGTGGCGATGATGATGAGGGATTTTCCGAGCGATTTTCATCTACAATGTTGAAGATATGCCAAGTCGAGCTCTTAAGGTTATCACTCCTCTCTTTTTTATTCTTCTTTGTTAGTGTATACATATAACGTCGAAATAGCATGAAACACAACAATAATTTTTTTTCCTTTTCCGAGATAAGTATAACTACAAAGATTTAGAAGGGAAAATTATCTATTGAGCGAAAGATAGACATCCATCAAAATTTTTATACCAAGTGGATTTGAATCAAATGTCTTTCTTTCAATTCATTTAATTTCTTTTTGAATAATTCCAACAAAATTTTAAATAGACTTTAATTATCAAATTTCTCCTAATTAAAGAAGGTAGAATTATTAGCAACACCTAACACCAATTAATGTGACTTTGAATGAGAAGGTAAGAAAATCCAATAAGAAGGTTGTATCGAATAAGAAGGTGAAGCTACCCTATGTAATCCATCGAATCCGACCTATAAAATCAACCAAACACTTCAACTAAAATCACAACCTTAATTAGTGGTGCTGCCATTGAAAAATTTACCGGTGCTACTTTGAAAAATGGAGGGTCCATGAAGAAGAAGATAGAGGTGGTGGTGATGATAAGGAGGGATTTTCGCAGTGATTTTCATCTATCATGTTAGAGATATACTGTAACGCCCCGAGCCTTGAGATGGAAGGCTAGAGCACTATGGTCAGCATCGAACATTCATAGAGCTCGGGTGTAGGCTGCAGTATGCAAACGACTAAAGAGGTCGGGCGTGATGTAGCCAAGTCCGGCGCTCGTCGAATGCGTATCGATGCCCTATAACCTTAAACTATGCGTGACATATGCAATACATAGCGGAAGACATTTGGCTCAAACGCCTACTTAAAAACTCAATTTGTGTCCGAAACTTTTTCATCAACGCAAAAGTTACGTCGTAGCTTAAAATTTTATTGACCAGTAGCACAGCGCACTGCGTACGGCGGCCTAAGTCTATCGAAATTCATGACAACCTATTGTCATGTGGATTCACGATGAAAACTAAGGGCCTACCTATATGGATATATCATGAATGCTTTATGTGGGATACCAAAACATTTAAAGAAACATAAACGTAAGAGACTCAAACTTTGGGCGGAATACTTCATTTTATTGAAAATAACTTTTTACATGCTTGTCTTGGCCTTAAGGTCGTTACATTCAACATTTCTCTCTCCCCGTTCCTTCTCCCTTTTCTCTTTCCCCGACTTTATTTCTCTATGCCTTCTCCTTCTTAGGCCATGGCAAAAAGAAGAAGAAATTAGCATCTAAGATGAAAAAATCACAAGTCTGAACCGAGTAATTGCTCTGGTTGTTTTGATTAATCCCCCTAGGCCTTTTGGTTTCAAACACTCGCTCTTCGCCTCAAATCCGCCACTTCGTGGTTGTTGGGTGCAGCTCGGTTGCCAAATCTACTCCACTTGTGAATGTGGTCGTAGAAGATGACTCTAGTGTAGAAGATTTCGAGTTTGATGAAGAGAAATCAAATTTAGAGGAGTAAGAAAGCTCTACAAATTCGGAGTTGAATGAACATTTGGTTTCCCGTCTAAAATTTTCAAAATTCCAAAATTTCAAATTTGAGTGAAAATTTATTTCCCGTCAAAAAATTTCAACCTCCAACTTTCCCGCCCAAGTGGTCGCTGAGCCAAACACTCCCACTACTCATTTTCAGCCCTTTCCCTTCGAGCATGATGGACTTATCACCGGCGAGTGTGACCAACGGAGAGTCGGGCGATGCTGCTTTCTCTCCATCGAGCTTGGCCGGACCTCCATCTAGAGTCCGCCCTAACCCTCAAACTCCGATTGGCCCAAGTACCTCTCGGCTCCCTAACGCCAAATGGCGTGACACGTTTGCTAGTAATCGTAATGCTATATTATGCCCTAAGCTCACTTATTTTATCGTCATAGCCGAAAGTAAAACCTATGTCTTGTCTTGTCGATGACCCAACATGTGATATGTGAAAATGTTGTTTAATTGGGTATGTTGCTTGGAAATCTCTAGATTTTTGAGCCCTCGATGGAATTATTGATAGTACATGAAAATGCAAAGCTACTTTCTCTATTCATGACTACGGTTGGCTTATTTATAAGTTTGCTTTCGAAACGGATAAGTTATCGATGCTTGAACGGTGTTTCATACTTGATTTTTGGGCGACCACTTGTTGCTTAGTTCAATGCCCGAGTTCTTTGACTTTTCGAACAAGGAGATGTCGTTGGTGCCGATTTAGGTGAAGTTTCCCAATCTCCCCTTTAACTCGCTGGTCTCCCTTGTTACTTTCAAAAGTTACAAGCCTACTAGGTAAAACTTATCCAGGTGTGATCGGCTCACGACCTCTATGAAATAGATTTCCTACGCTAGGGTTTTGGTGGAACTCAACATCATGGAGGAGCTATTGAAAATCGTCAACATTAGGCTACACAATGGTTTCACCCTTCTCCAACGAGTTATTTATGAAACCTTACCTATGCATTGTAATACTTATCGGGTTTGGGGACATTCTACTTCCTCTTGTGGGAGGCAAACTCCAACAGTTAATTCGGGTAAGGTTGTCGACGTTAATGAGGCTGCGCGCCACCCTCCAGCCCAAATTACTGTTACTAACGGGATGGGCTCGACCGTGCTCGCTAGTCATGCTAGTGTTACATCGGAGGCTATTTAGATTGACCCTATGGTTTCGAGGTAGAGGCGGCTTCGGGGAGTGGGTAACGATTCATCGAAAGAGCCAACGTAAAATCTCGCTCGTAGTCACGAAGCATCGGTCGTAGCCGCTTTTGCCTTCTCGGTCGGGGTAGCCTACTCATGTGCGGGCTCGGGTATCTCGGTCAAGTATAAGCCTCAGGCTCGCTGCTCGGACGGATAAAGGTAAGGTAGTTGAGGCGGAGTCCTTCTAGTTTGGAGCTTCGCTCGAGCGGGGTGACCACGTGGCCACTCGCTGGTGCACTATCGGTAAGCCTCGATGGCTTGGCTGAGGCTTAGGGATAGTGAGGTAGGCCTTGATCGTCGAGATGGCTTGCGAGGCTCATCACCGATTGAAGAGGATCTAGGTGCCAATGCGGGGGCTCGGTCGGATTTGGCGGTTTCAATTACGCCCACGACACCACAAAAAGTAAGGTTTACTTGTACATGCCAAAGAGTTGCCGAGTAGTACAAAATCGGGAAGTCCAAACAAAGTGCTAAGGGGTTACTAACTCGTTTAGTTGTTCCATGATTATTCTTTGTTGGAATGTTAGGGGTCTCAATAGTCTCCTAAAACAACATGAGGTTACGGGCCTCGTGAGCAAGAAAAAGTTTGATATTTCCGCTTTGATTGAAACCAAGCTCGACCTCGCTAAGCTAGCTCGACTGCACAAGTTTTGGCTCGAGTGGTGGCGAGGTTGTCTCCAATGCCTCGGATGC